CAGCCCATGTTGTCTGAAAGTGTGATCAGTAGCCTCACGGATGAGGGTAGAAGTAAGATCAGTGAGTACTACTTAGGGAGATGATAAAATTATGGCTTTCTTTAGACTACTGGATATTTTAAGATGAAAGGTTTCACGGTCCTCTTTTTTAATATCTTCCTTTTCCAAGACTAAAGATGAAGAAGGGTGAGGAAGCTTAGTGGGCCTCAGGGCCCCAAACAGTGGCTGGCCCATAATAAACGGTAGAGCGGTAGGCTGAAGGGATGGATGAATGAAAAATGCTTGGTGGGTGATACAGCCATTGGACTTACCTGTGAGTTGTCTGCTTCAGATGCAGCGGGGAGGGGAAAGAGAACCTAGTTAGGAGGCTGGAGACCTGGGCTGTATGCCTACGGAGATCCAGGGGCCATTGGCTATGCCCAAGACGAGGGATCCTACCTCAGGGGAATCCCTGTTCGGGTCCCGTGGCGTAGGCCTGCGCTAGATTTGGGGGCTGGGTGCGGGGGCTGGAGTCTTGCTGTAACCCGCTGCTGCTCACCTTCCCGATGTTTCTGCTGCTGTAAGAGTCCAGCAGGTTTATAAACACCCTCTGGATCCGGATAACTTTCTCCGTCGAGGCAGCAACTTCCTCTTCTTCAGCCATGGTGGGAGTCACGCTGGTTGCTAAGGAGAAAGCGTCCTTCTGGTTGTCAAGGAGGTGGGGCGAGGCTCTGAGGACTCCACGCGAGGTCTGCTCTCCGGGGGCGGGGCCAGGCGCTGGGCGGGGCGTCCCGGGGCTGGGCGGGGCCGCCTGTTCCCGCGCCCCGGGGGTTCTGCCTGCCTAGGCAGCCAGGCTGCGTCCCAGCGCCACTACTCTTGGCTTGGCTGCCGCTGTCGTGCAGCCGGGTTCCCGCTCTGCTCCGCTACACACCGTGTGCCCTTTGGCGGGGCACATCCCCTCTCTGAGCCTCTCATCCCACTGTGCAGAGAATTGCTGCTTGGTCCACGGGCTCAACTGGTTATGGGCTGTTTCAGAGACACAGGGGCTGTGTGATCACTGTTCCTTTCATCCCTTTCATTTGGAAACGCTGGAAACACGTCCCAGTGTCCACTTGACAGGGAGGACTAAAAATACTGATAAATCTGATAAAAAGGTAAAAGCCCACAGCCTAGGCCTCCCCTGAAATGTTGAAGTTAATTAACGTGACATAAGAAGAGATGTTGCCATGGAGTTTCGGGTCCAGGGCATCGAAACAACACTGTGGGAGGTCCCCACTGTGCAGAGAATTGCTACTCGGTCCACGGCTCAACTGGTTAGGGGCTGTTTCATAGCAGTTCTAGGAAGACCTCTGCAGGTGGGCTGGGATGGGGTGGGCTGGAGGCCACTGTGCTGAGGATCCACCACATTCACAAAGGGATTGCATTGAGACTTGTGATCTTTCCTAATGAGTTATACATGCAGTTGCCAACATAAACCAGCAAACTAAAAGATAATATTCAATTTCTCTTACCATGGACCACAAAGGGTGTGGTGGAACTACACGTTCCACTGTTATTGTGGAATGGTCTGATTCTATTGAAATATTTTTGTACTTAAACATTAACTTGTTAAATATAAACGTTTCACAGATGCAGCAATTCTTTTTGTAGCTTACAAAAAAATTAAATGCCGATTGCCTCAAAAAATGGAGGTGATTCAAGACATTCAGACAGGCTTGAAGGCTCTGGGAACCCAGGAACTCAAGAGATTTGGCTTTGAGTTTCAGCTCTGTAGCTATTTGTGGGAGACTGGGACAATGTTTTAACCTTTCCCAAGTTGTTAAATTGACTGTAAAACAGGAGTGAAACCACCAGCCTAATGGGGCTTTAGGATTAAATAAAGACATATATGAAAATCATTTTCCGAAGTGGTCCTCTAACATAAACTGCATTTTGTCTGCAAGGCAAAGTAAGGCACACTCCTATAAATGGGAGCCTTTTCATTCCATTTTCTTTTTTTTTTTTGCATGTGTCCCCACCCCCTTTTCTTTTTTATATTGTACATGTCTCAGTAAAACTTGCTTTGATAAAAATAATTAACACTGAAAACCTGCAAACTCAAATTTGGGAACAGCTTGCTCGTAACATTTTTTTAAGAATTACTGATGAGATGTAAAGATATTCATGCAAGACCAATATAAAACATGATGGGAGTAAATATTCTTTAGCGTTCTTTCAAATGACTTAGTAAAATATTCTAGAATTCACTAGATGCTTCATTTCCAGATTTTTAGTTTGTCCCTACCTTATGCAGTTAAGCAGGTAAGTACTTTGAAAGTTATTCAACTGGTTATGCTATTAAAATATATTTCACCTTTGTTTCGTTCTAATTCTTTACACTATTGATAACAGGTAAAAGAGTTGGCATCATAGTTACAAGGGGTTGGCTCCTAGAGAACTTTATACCTATCATATTGCTAGGCAGAATCTATTAATTCTATCAACTAACATACCTTTCTTTTACTGCTATTTCTTTCCCCTTTCAAAATCAGCTTTTATATATCTACAAAACTCAGGTGATGCTTTTATTGACATGTACCATATGGGGACTGTGTGTGGACTCAAAGACCTGGATTCTGACCCAACTCTTGATCGCAGGTAGGCTGCTTGAGCAAGTGCCTCAATCTGACCATCTTATGTCATTCACAATAAAGGGGTTGAAGGCAGTTCTAAAATTGATGTGGCACATATCAGAATCCCAGAGTTTTCCTACCTCACTCCCCTTTAGTAGTAAAACAGCACATTTTGTGTTTTTGAATACTGGTGAGAAAATAGTACCATGTGTGATGGAATGAGCCAATGAACAGTACTGATTTGCTGTGTGGGAAATGCAAAGATTGATTTTAGACCTGGAGGAAAGGTGGCACGAGTGTCGTTAACAGGAAATGAGACAAGCACTCTTCTCTCTTTATAATCCTACTGTCTCTGGGCACGGGGGATCCTGGGCATGGACGCAAGTGAGCATGGCTTGGTGCTTTTGCCAGAGAAAAAGGTTCTTCAGCCAGTTTACGCCCCATACCTATTGTGTTTCCCCTCCAAATAGTACATAGAAACTAGTGTAGAAAATGTGAGAAAGTATAAAGAAAATGAGAATTATCTTCCAATCTTGTGATGACTATTAAGTGTACAAGATTTTACTTCATTTTTCCTTAATTTTTTCCCGATGCCATTTTCTTCATTTTTTAATGGCTGCATATTTTTCCATCAAAAGGATGTGGCATAACTTAACCACTCTTTAGACTCTTTTCAATTCTCTATTAGAGGAACTAAACATCCTTGTAGTGTATCTTCTGCCAAATTATTTCTCTGTGCCAGATTGCTAGAATATGACCAGTACAGGAGCTTTTTGTAAAAGCTCCATTGCCAATGTTTTCCAGAAAACTTTCAGTATATCCTCTAATGATTTAAGAGTGCCCTCATTAAATCCTTACTGATATCATTATATTTAAATAAGAGGAATGATTAAATTACTAGGTCAAATGGCCCAACATAGCTAAGCCTATTTTTTTTCTTTGAATTACTAGTCAGGTTGAATATCTTTTCAGGTTGAAGTGGTTACTACACATTTGTATGTTTTTCTGAGTTGTTTGATATTATTTGCCTATTGTTCTTATGTATTTCTTACTGATTTCTAAGTTATTTATGTAGAAGTTTTAAAAAATTTTCTTATTTTGGAAGTGAAAAGCTTAATTTGGTTAAATTCTTTAAACAATCTGGGTGAAATGTTTTTTTTTTAAATTTTAGTATCATTAATATACAATTACATTGTGATTACTAGATTCCCCCATTATCAAGTCCCCACCACATACCCCATTAAAGTCACTGCCCATCAGCATACGAGGATGCTACAGAATCACTACTTGTCTTCTCTGTGCTATACTGCCTTCCCCATGTCCTGCCACTACATTATGTGTGCTAATCGTAACGCCGCTTATTCCCCTTCTCTCTCCCTCCCTTCCCATCCACCACCACCCAGTCCCTTTCCCTTTAACAACTGTTTGTCCATTCTTGGGTTCTGTGAGTCTGCTGCTGTTTTGTTCCTTGTGTTTGCTTTCTTGTTATACTCCACAGATGAGTGAAATCATTTGGTACTTGTCTTTCTCCACCTGGCTTATTTCACTGAGCATAATACCCTCTAGCTCCATCCATGTTGTTCCAAATGGTTAGAATTTGTTTTCTTCTTATGGCTGAATAATACTCCATTGTGTACATGTACCACATCTTCTTTATCCATTCATCTACTGATGGACACTTAGCTTGCTTCCATATATTGGCTATTGCAAATAGTGCTGCAATAAACATAGGGGTGCACATGTCTTTTTCAAACTGGGCTGCTGCATTCTTAGGGTAAATTCCTAGAAGTGGAATTCCTGGGTCAAATGGTATTTCTATTTTGAGCTTTTTGAGGAACCTCCATACTGCTTTCCACAATGGTTGAATTTACATTCCTACCAGCAGTGTAGGAGGGTTCCCCTTTCTCTGCATCCTCGCCAGCATTTGTTGTTCCTATTCTTTTCTATATTGGCCATTCTAACTGGCACGAGGTGGTATTTCATTGTGGTTTTAATTTGCATTTCCCTGATAATTAGTGATGTGGAGCATCTTTTCATTTGCCTGTTGGCCATCTGAATTTCTTCTTTGGAGAACTGTCTGTCCATATTCCCCGCCCATTTTTTAACAGGGCTATTTGCTTTTTGGGTGTTGAGGCGTATGAGTTCTTTATATATTTTGGAAGTTAACCCCTTGTCAGATATGTCATTTACAAATACTCCCACACTGAAATGGGTTTTCATATCTAGAGGAGGTTTTCATATCTGTGTAGTTCCACTAACACCTCTCTCTGTTCCTCTTTCATATGAATAAGAAGAGCAAATCACTTCACATCAAAATGTAACAACAGGGAATTCAAAAACGGAAATGGAAGCCCACGGAATCAATTGTTTATCACAAAATGAACAATTTCAATTTTTAAACACAATTGCTTTTCTTTACTTAACTCAAAATGAGTAAAGAGAATTTTATTCAAACTTTACAAATACCCTTTACATTTAGCCTGAGATTAAACATGAAAAAGTCCAACCTGACATTAGACTTCATTGCCCAAAGAGTTAAGCATCTAAAAAAAAGTGGAGAATGAACGTGCATTTATCAAACATTAAGTAGAGCATTCCAGTGAACTTTGACCTAAACCAAATTTTAGTTTGCTCTGGTCTACATCATCTTCAGAGTCTGAAAGTACGATTTAAAAAGTCTGCAAATGACAAATTATGAAGGTGTCCAAGTGTAGAATTTTAGTTCGACATTTCTACAGCCGCTGCTTTAGACTACTATTAAAAAAGCAATTCCCCAATCCTTATTATTTAATGTATATTTGAAAACATGTAGCAGCATGGCATAGTTATTTTTATAAATATTAGTACCTGTAATAAAATATAAAAACAGAGTCTCCCTTTTTCAAATAGTAAGTCTCTGAGTGCTTCACTCATCCTTTGGTTTCAAACCGATACAATGGCCCAGAGACAGAACACTGTGCGTCTGTTAGGGAAGGAGGGGCACTGTGGGAATACCAAAGCGCTACATTATAGAAAGTAAACCTTGAAGCAAAAATACTTTCTGAATATATACTGTACATCATGTAAACACACATTCATAATAAGAACCCACACAGGCCAAAATATTGTTTTCTAGGAAATCAGAACCTTCTTTCTTTTAAATAACACACATTGAAGATGCTTTTTATTAAGAAAAAGAATGGAGCCTGTTCCTACATTTGCTTATGTGCTTAGATATCTTGGAAACAAGTAATTATTACATTCATTTGCTAACGGTTTGTCCTCTTAGCTGGCTGGCTGTTGCAAACAAGGAATACAGAACTATTTCAGTACATGTTTTTCATGTAATACTAGATAAGTAATATATAATTAATTCATCTTTACCAGTCATATTAGTAATATAAATAGATTACGTAAAGCAGTGAAATTTCAAAATTTGTGCAGGGGAAACTAGTTAATAATTTGTTTCCAATAAGGCTCGTAGCAAAAACAAAGTCAGTCCAAGCTAGTAGTAAACCCCTGATTTAGCAAGCTGAATCAAAGTTTGAAGTTAGGTCATTTTAATTCCTATATTACTGTGCAAATCTAGAATTTCCTATGTAAAAGAGAGTGCTGGCAGCATCTAAGTCCTGTAATAACAGAATGAAATACTGATTAGGTTTTAAAATGCAGAGATACTATATGAAGAAATCTGAATGTCTTAATAATGGTGTCACAGCAATGGCCTCAGGATTCCCTTAATGCATCAGCAACTAAGAGTTCCTTAGCTAATAATGTGCTGAGTCAAAAGCCTAAATCTGAAGCAATAAATGATAAGGACACAAAACCCAAGATGCATTTTCTATTATGACTGTGCAAGAATTTCAAGCTTTATATCAACACTGTGTACCAGCAGCAGCCCCTTCTAAAATGAAAAAGCTTAGTCATGACTGTCCATCCCTTTTCAAAGCTTCCAGTCTCTGAAGGAGTGCATTTCCAAATGCTTCCCGGTAGGCAGGGCTGAGTGTATCCAACAAGGAGTAGACTGTTTCATGGTAGGGAGTCTGTAAATGATCACCCACTTGGTCAAAAGCATAGCCTACCACCTACAAGAGATATGTAACAGTGAAAAAATAAATAATTTCATCTTGGCATAGTGAGCAAAAACCAAGTGTTTAGATGGGCCATTCTCTAATGACACTATTTCTTAATCAAGTTAGAATATGCATATTTTTAATATAACCTTTAATACTTACGTACATTATATAGGAACACTACCAGCAGAATGCCCTCTTTATAATTTTTTTCTCATAATTTAAAAGGTTTGATTTACCTACTCCTTATATTAAAAGGAATGAAAAACAGAAAGAATTTAAGGAGCTACAAAAAATAGCATTTCATTTTCAGAGTCTAAAACATGCTTCTATTTAATTCTACATATGTTGAAGTCTAACATATAAAGGCAGTATATAGATAAAACATTATTCATTTGGTTTGGCCTTTATATTATAAAGAATTCTAAAAATTGTTTATAGATTTAATCCCATTTTATAATTAGTTACCTGAAAGTCCATAGTCACATTATTAACATATTACTTATCTGACAGGGAAAGAAATGCTCAACTGTGAGATAAAAGAGAATGTTTCTGTTTTTTTCTTTTAAACATAGGTGAAGATTTTTCTCCAGTAAGATTATATCGTGGTTTATCAGCACAGTGTAGGGCAAATCAATTTAGTTTTTGTTAACTGGAACACAGCTTGTGAATTCCCTATATAAATCCTAAATTTTTATGACATCTATTCAAGTCACAGAAGATACAAGTTTATGTTAGAAATAGAAATATTGTTTTTAATGAAAAGCAGAGGCAGACACCTAAGGAAGGTGAGTCACACCTATTCAGAACCATGTTCTCCTGTAGCCCTTTTCTACAGTGTATTACAGTTCTGCTTGCCTCTCTTTTATCCCTGCTCGACTGTGGTCTTCCTAAACAGGGATCATGTCTTACTTGTGGCTTGATTTCCAATTCCTGACATAGGATAGTTGTTCTATGAATATTAATAAGGCAGACTGAAAAAATACTTGAGTACTCATATGCCAGGTTTTATAACTGATCCACATCTTTCTGAAAACTTTATTCATATAATCATCCCCTAAATTCTTTTTACTATTTATTTTTTTAATCTACATTTGATAGATAAAGAAGCAGGGACTCAAGGAGGTTGACTGACTCATCCTAGATCAGTCGAATTCACTTGTAAAACTTTTGACTGATTAGAAAACCCTTTCTACCTCACTACAGCCACCTTAGAATTAATCAAAGTAAGAGAATTAATTTACGTGGGGCCATTTATCTCTACGTTTGATTTGCCTATTTCTATTTAAGACTCACTTCTAAAGACTACAAACATTTAGCACAAATTTAGGGATTTAGGAAGGGAAGCACAAAAATTAGCTAATGCAGGTACTACTCCCAAAGCTAAGCAGCTGTGTGCATGGGGGTTGTGAGGGCACTGGAAGTAGGTTAACCATACTGGCCTTGCTGTTTGCTTCAGCGTGAGAGACTCTCCACAAGGAATATACACAACACACAATTCATATCCTTTAAGCAAACTGAACCTTATGAAGTACAGAGATGTTCACATACTCATGTAAAGAGATGTTCACATACTCATTTAACATAATATTATGACATTCTCTCTTGTTTAGGTCTTGCCCTCTATCTCATCATATTGTACAACTTTTAGGGAACTACTCTTAATAGATAAGGAAACAGGAAAGTCAGAGATTTTTGCTCAAGATTGAATTAATTAGTAAAGTTAAAACCAAAATTTGGGGTTTCTAATATCTACTCCTTTCTTCAGTAGGTCAAAAATTTTCAAAATAGGTTTTTTAAAAATGAAAAGTTGCTCTTGGGTAGTTCTTTCTACTGTTCTAAACTCAGGATTCTGGCTTAAAGGATGCAGAGAGGTCCCTCCGCCTAGAAAAGCTCACATGTAATAAAGGACGCTCTTGGAAGTTTGGAGGTGGAGCACTCCGCCGTGAACCAGTTCTGGTCTTAACAGCTAGAGGACAGTGGAGTTCAACTATGCTGCCTTAGGAGAAGAGACATTTGCAAGAGGCAGAAAAAGGTCCTTTCAGCACAATGACTTCAAAGTAATCCAACGCAGAGAATGCATAATGTTAGAAGATACATTGAGCTAGAGATAAGAAATAAATTAATTTTGGGGTGATGATTAAAATAAAACAACAGTCTACATCAAAGGTTTTTTCTTTGTCAAAAAATACAATTTCCCCTTTGACAAAAAATACCAAAAGACTTTAGAATTAATAAAAGTTCCTAGGAAAAAATTTTCCTTAAAAAAAAAAATCTCAGAAACTACCAAGTGTTGAGTTCTGATTTAACACTCTTTCCCATTCCCTGACCCCTTTTTGATAAAGTGGTAAAGATAGAAATTTTTTTTCCTGAAAAGCGAAGTGACTTACCCTTAGCCCTGCTTCAGTGAGCTCCAGGCAGTATCTGTTCCTCTCTCTCGTTTCCACATTGATGTAGGCCACGTCGTCTGCGCAGCGCAGACTCTTGGAGACAAACATGCTGTTAACAGCAAAGAGAACATCATTGACAACTGCTTCAGCTTCCAGCCTCATGTCTTTCACGTCAGTTCCTTCAAAACCATTGAGCTCGGCATCTTCTTCAAATCCTGACACGCTGCTTAGTTCCATGGGATTACAGTCTGTTTCCATTCTACAAAAAAGCAGATACAACTTGTTTATAGGAAGATATTTCAAATATTAATGCTTCTTTAAAGGAGCTCATCTCACAGCTGGTATTTATTTTTATTATGATATCATTAATATACAATCACATGAGCAACACTGCGGTTACTAGATCCTCCCATTATCAAGTCCCCAGCACATAACCCATTATAGACACTGTCTATCAGCATAGTAAGATGCTATAGAGTCACTACTTGTCTTCTCTGTGCTACACTGCCTTCCCCGTGCCCCTCCCCCAATATGTTCCAACTGGTATTTAATAGAAAACTAACTAGCTAACAACTTTTAGGGAAAGTATTGTCTAAAACTAATTTCAGGAGTTTATCACAACAGAATTTCCAGCGCCTATAGATTAAAAAAAAAATCTGTTCTCCACTTCTCCCCAAAAGGTTAATTACCTTATTGATAAGAATTTAGAGTATCTGTTTTTAGCTGTTTCACAGAATGCCTCAGTAAAGTCTTAGTACATACTTCTTTTTAAATGTATAATTGTTTTTCATAATTATTTTTCTAGGATATTTAGAACTGGAATTGCTGGGTCAAAGCATATGCTCATTTTAACTTTCTATAGTTACTACTGATTCACCCTTCAAGAGAGGCTATACTGATTTATGCTCCACCACTAGACTATCAGGCACTGCACTCTTGTTTACCACACTCTTCCCAATCCTTTTTAGTATTTGCCAATTTGAGAGGCAAAGAATAATGCTTCATTATTTAAATATGTATTTCCTTGATTAAACATCTTTTTGGATATTTATAGGATATTTTTAGTTGCAAGATCACACAGCTGTAAAAAACAGAAATGGAAATGAACTCAGGTGGTCTGAAATCAAAGTTCAAGTCTACCTACCACAGTACACTACCTCTCATCGATTTGGGGTGCATCCCATAATTATGTCTTAAAAACTCCCTAAATTGTCTTCTGAATTCTCATTCTCTATACCTATATTTAACTCTTTGAGTCATCTGGAATTTATTTTGTAGAACTTTGTTTTCCAAATGGATAGCCTACTATCCCAACCCCATTTATTGAATAACTCACCTTTTCATCACTTATTTGAACTTGTCCAAAATTATAATATAAAAATATTATTTCTTGTGTTAACCTGATCTGATATTACTACCATGCTGCTGTGTATTCTAGCTTCTCTTCTGTGACTGGGGTAGCAGTGAATATAGCTAATATTCAAATTTGCATGAATGAAAAAAGTTAATGAATGTGAGACTGCTTTGGAATGTAAAATGGGCTTCTCAGAACAAGACATTAAGCTTTCTTTTTACCTGAAGGTTCTAAAAGTTAAATTTTCATTATTCTGATATGGATTAAGCATCTGCTGTCCTGAATACAGTATAAATTTTTAACTTATGTTTATGCAATTTGTCAATTATCTTAAAAATTTAATCTTTTTTTCCAAAGTTACTAACTTGTATCCTAATTGTGTGATGTTTAAAATCTTCTTAGCGGTCTTCAACCTCAGTCACTGACCCAACCTAGAGAAATGGAATCAAAATCTCTGGGAAAACTTTCCAAAGCATTTTTCAGTTTCTGGGTGATTTTACTGTACAGGCACTGCTCTAAGTTATCTGCAAAAATCTTATGGAGCTGGAGTTCCTCCAGCTCATGCCATTTGCACATTATAAAAGCCAAAACTATTTGCTAAAGGCAATTTATGATAAACTATTTAAGTCTACTTCAAAACTTACATAGCAAACATACAAATAATATATTCCTTCAATCCTATTTCAACAGTGATGTTTTAAGGGTTATCTTGTCTCCCATACCACTTTACAAAATTAGTCACTCACTACTATCATAATTTTGCTATATTACTAACTACTATCCTACACTACTACTAATAAACTTCCCAATTACTGATGAAGCAATCTGCCAGATAACAAATCTCGTATTGACTTACTATATCTGAAAGTAAAAATATTTGATTTCATAAAAGTTTCTACCTTACTCTAAAAATAATCACTATACCCCTAAATATCATACTTGCTTTTATGTATAAGAAATGATCTGTTTGATTTTTAGTTTTGAAGATTTTAAAGTGTCACTGTCAACAGTAAATCTCTTAACATCAAAAACACTAACCTTCTTTATTTTGCTCAAGTAATCAAGTGACTTAGAGATATTAGAAAAACAATCATTACATGAAAAAGATGTTTGTATGAGAAAGCTTAATAAAGTCAAACTTTAAAGCAAGTCTAGTTTATTGCAATTAGGGCCTTAATGATGAAGAAAGATGAAAAATCCAATACTAGAAAGGAAGAAATCCTCACAAGTCAGTGAAGTGGATCATCAAACTGTTGTGTAATCACTAATAACAAGGGGCAAAAAAGAGAAACATACATTTCCTAAGACTGTGAACTTGAATATTTTTTTGAAATGTCTTTGACACAAAAAAGGGCACATTCAGAACTTCTGATGATGACACATATGAATGAAAAGATAGATTTTATTATTAGAGCATTATACATTTTAAGCTATTATTAAGGTGTTATCACAATTTATCCCTTGCTGGTTGTAACAGGCTCTTGATTATTTTTCAGTATCTTTTCCTCTTTCTAACAGCACCCAGATTTTCTAAGGGGAATCATAGCGTCCCCTTTCGCTACTGAGTAATGTAATGAAGCAATCTGGGTTAGATTGACCATGATCCCAGTTGAAGCCTATCGCCTATCTTAAATTAACCAATACATGGAATTCTTCCTAGTCACCTCAATCCAGAATAGTTTGGAGCACACAGCCCCAGTTGTTCCTGGTAGCCACCCTGAGATGGAAGAAACTAGCCCAAGGATGCTGACAATGGGAGAACAGAGCCAAGAGATTTACAGAGAAATGGAGCCAGAGCTCTGATAGGTGCCTAGCCTTTGCACTTCTCAGTTATTGGTGCCAATAAATTCCCATTATTTTCCTGGCAACTGGAAGTATCCTAAGTGAATTAGGAGACGACCCAAAATGAAAAGCAGTGATTAACTGATCTAACTCTTCAACACCTTTATAGAGGTAATGAAGTTTAAAAAAATGGAACACTGATGGTATTTTTGTGCCTGCCATGCAGAAAGTGCTTAATAAAAGTTTTATATTTACCAGTATGTGTGTGTAGTTTCCTACTGCTGCTGAAACAAATTACCACAAACTTGGTGGCTTAAAACAACACAAATTAATTATAGTTGTGGAGTTGAGAAATGTAAATTAAGATGTCAGCAGGGCTGCATTCTTCCCAGGCCTTCAGAGAATAACCTGTTTCCCTGCCCTTTTCTAGCTTCCAGGGGCCTTCTGTATTTCTTGACTCCCTTTTCTACCTCCAAAGTGCATCACTCCAACCTCTGGTTCTGTGGTCACATCTCCTTTTCCTTACTTTTGACACCCACATCCCTTTTATAAGGACTCTCGTGATTATACTGGGCCCATCCAGACAAGCCAGAATAGCTTCCCCGGCCAAAGTCCTTAACTTAATTAAACCTGTAAAGTTCCATTTGTTGTTAAAAATGACATTTGACATTACAAATGTCATCTCAAGGTGACACACTCACAGTTTCTGGAGGTTAGGACTTGGACACCTTTGGGAGGCCCTTATTCTATCCCCTATGTTTTTATCCTACCAGCAGGAAAGGAGTATGATAGTAGTCAGAGACATCATTATCTGACCTTCCTTTTTGGAACAGTAATAATTTACTTTTAATAAACACTTTGGATGGGTAGTTTACATGGTTCTCTTAAAAGGAGGTCCAGAGTTCACCGGTTCTTTGGAAAGCCTCCTTAATCATAGGTTTCAGGCTTTGAACTCTACAACTCAGCACCATGATCACAGCAAAATGTACCTTGGGGATGGGTGTTTCAATTAATGACACTATCTCAAGGCTGGCAAGGGGTTTATGAATTGTCCTGAGTTAAGAGCTCTATCCACCTCTTGATTCTGAATGGTGAATGGCCTATCTAATTAAATCCGCTCTTGAATTTGAACACAGAGCCAAAAAACATGAAGTCAGTTGGTGATGACAGGACCTACAGAAGCAGACCAGGGAGCAAATGGGTGGCCTTATCAATGGAGCGCTAGAGAAGTGGTTCCTACACTTTTGATTATGCAACCTGATAACTAAAAATACTTTGAGCAGACACCTCATCATGTCTGTTTATATATTTATTGTTTGTTACATATTTACATAGTTACATTGTTTACTCTAATACACTTAAAGTATTAAAAACACATAGATGTACACTTCAGCACAAGAAGGTAAAATACAAATATAAACTTACTTTCTCCTGATTTTTCAATGAGTTATTTGTGTACCTGACTATGGAGGCCTGCACCACTAAAGATGAGGAAATGCATGCCCATTCTAGTGACAGGACAACTACTAGAATTACTATCAACCTATTAGAGCTACTGTCAGGTTACCAGAAATGCTGACTCATCAGGGTAAATCTGGTAAAAGTCCTTACTTTCCATTTCTGTAGGCAAAATAACTTATCATCAAGTAAGAAATTCTAGGCCAACAGAACTTTGTGTGATGATGGAAATGTCATCAGTATCGTACAGTATAGTAGCTACTAGCCACATGGAGTTATTCAACACTTGAAGTTTGGCTAGAGTAACAGAGGAAGTGATTTTCAATTTTTATTTAATTTTCATTCATGTAAATTTAAATAGCTAATGGCTGCTTTATCAGACAGTGTGGGTCTAGACTTTATGAATACTTGTGGATAACATGATAATGAACTGAGTTTATATTATGGTTGAGAAAAATCAGTAGATGTAAAAGGACTGAATGCAGTTTTACATATGAGTAGATGTGGAGATGCATATGCTAATCAAACATCATAATCCACTGTGCTTCTATATAACTGGCATTTTTCTAAGCATACTAATTAAAGATGTCTACTAGTAGCTTACAGATTCATTTGGAACATAAGAAAGGCATGTGAAATATGTACACAAATATTAACATTATGTA